GGCCGGCGGCGCGGGGCTCCCCTGGGAATGGCGAAGACAGGTCGGCCCGGCGCCGGGGGCTGGCCACTGTCCCGGGAGGGGGTCGCGGCCTCTGGAGGCGTCTCCTGGCTCCCGCCTCAGAGCACGCTTTTCTCCCCAGCGGGCGCGCGCGCGTTCCTCGAGCACCGGCAGGGCGCGCGCCGGCCCAGGTGAGGTGCAGGTGAGGGCGAGCGGCGCGGGAGCCTCTGGCCTACCCCAGAGCGGCCGCTGCCCTTTGAGAACGACCGAGGGCCTGTTGGGTCTCAGGACTGCAGCTCACGCCCTGCGCCAGGCGGAGCTTCCGGGAGGGTCTCTGAGCTCCCAGGCCCCAAGCTCCCGAGTCCCGGCATCCCAGAAAAATAGCTCGGGGGGACGAAGATGAGCCTGGAGGCCTGACCTCCTCCTGGGGAGGTATTCGCGCGTACCTGGCCCTAGACGGGTTGCTGCTCTGGGTAACTGGGGTGAATGCCGGCGCTGGGAGATGCTCCCCCTCGGACCCCCAGGCTGAGTAGTGCTCTGGGGTGAAAGGGCGGAGGCGGTGTGAGGGTCTCACCTTGCCAGTCCGCGGGCACAGGAAATGGCGTTGCAGCTGTACTGGGGGAAGCTTGTGATACTGTAAAATCTCAGCTTCTAGCAGGCTCGAACTGAATTCTAGCCCACGCCCACTTTAGGTTGGCTGGAGCGGGCCCTCCAGCTGCCCACCTCCCTCCTAGATCGGTGCTCCTCCTTCCTGGCTGGCAGCCCCTGGCTCCCCTAATCCTGGGGGAAAACCCCAGCTGGGAGGTACAAACACAAGCTGACCGGCTTCTTGGTAACCATTTCTTAAATGTGGACAGCCAGTTAAGGTGATATGATTTGAGTGTGGTTTTGTCTAGACTGAGAAGATGCCCAGGTGCCCTCACTGCTGCTTAAATTGTAGCACCTGGTGGCTTTGGGATACAGACGTAGGTGCCCTCACAGCCACCCTCAAGATCTTATTCTAGGGGTCCTCGGGTGCAGGGTGAGTTTGACAAAGCCTGAGCTCCTCCCTGGCTTTGGCCCACACTTTACTCCAAGTACAGTTCAGGGGAGTTTTACAGAATGATTTATCTCGCATGTCCTGTAGGTGATTGTTTTAAAGCTGTCTCTGGGAGACTTCCTTAGATTGTTTAATCTCATTCTCCAACTAGGTAATTTGACAGTTGAGAAAACTGTTGGGTAGGAGTCAGATCTCTATCTACAGTCATTTAAAAGCTGTGAACATCGTTGAGATCAGAGTGGTTTTCCTCAGGAAAACTCCCTTCCCCCAACTTTGCAGCCCAGTGTAAAAATCAGTGCAGCCCTTCTTGTTCTGCTAGGGGCCTGTTTTTCAAGATGGTATTGCTGTTTTAAGGTAAGTCTTGATTTAGGCTCTTCACGGGCCAAGGCTCATGCAAATATTTTGTAATTTCTGTAATTTTACCAGGGCAATTTAAATAATGCCCTTATAAGTGGGCGTGATGGCCCCCTAGCCACTGGGCAAGCCCCTCCCCCATTGCAGGTGACTCCTAATCTGAGCACTGGTGGAGAACTGGGGTATCCCACACCCCACCTGGTCATTACAGCATCACGTCTGCTGTCCAGGATAGCTGTTCATTAGCTGTAGTTAAATATATTTGATTATGTGCTTTTTAGTTTGCTTTCAAGTGGTTAAGTTAGTGGTATTTCTTGCCAAAAAAAAATTATGAACTGAAGTTTCAGCCTCTAATTAGATGCCTCTCACTCTCTTTAATTCTGGGAGTCAAAAGTCTATTTAAAAAGCAGGCAAAAGACTTTCAAGTGTAAGTGGAGCACTGAAGACCTAATCCCTGCAGTGTGCTGGAACATTGCCGTTTCATCACAGTGAACCTGGACTTGAAGAGAATTTCAAGTAATTGCAATAAATTCTTGCATCTTAGCCTCACTTTTAGAATACAGATTGGTCATAACAAGTGACTGACTTCTGAATTTGTCACACCCTTCGGTTACCTGCTGGTTCCATTGTTTGGGCATACCTGTGTCTAAGTGGCCAGCCCACCTTTTGAGGAAAGGATTGTGGCAAGTAAACACCAGATTATGTGCTATCAGAAGGACGCTCTTGGGGAAATGGAGAAGGATCCACAGCAGAGGCAAAGCAGACATAGGCCTCCTGCAGCCCAGCCACTGAGATCCTAAGGGTGGCATAAGCTTAACCCAGCCCATCCCTGAAGAGATATCATTTCCTGTGTCCACAGTCCAGTGGGGCTCTCCCTTCTGCGTTGAACTGCTTTGCACTCCAGGGTAGCCAGGCAGGTGGGGAGCAGAGCAGCATATTAAGAATCAGTAGCTGTGTGACATCCTTGGTTTTTCTGTGCACCATGTCCCTTACCTTCCTCCCTGCAGGGGCATCTTCAGGCCTTTCCCATAAGGGCCATTCACAAACAGGTTCTCAGAGTGTTCCCAAGAGCTGCCCAGCCATTCTGACAAGGAAGCACAGAACAAAAAGGGACGTATAACTGTGTTTGGAGCCACAAAAAATGCTGTGGCCCATGAGACCATCTGGCAAATATACATTCAACATTTTAATATGAAAAAGCTTTATTAAAAACAACTCTTTAAGATGTTTGGGCAAGTATTTTTTGATAGTTGCTCACGTCATGTAACTTTTTGTTCCAGGATTTTGTGAGTCAGGTCAAGAATGAATCTTTTCACAAACACCCCCTAGTTCTGGGTTCATCAGAGTCTCTTTTCAACCTACAAAGATGCATTTACAGACTTTATCTCATGGGCACTGCTTGGCAACCTTTTGAGGTAAATAAAAGTTCTGTTCTTTTCTTACTGAGAAGGTGGAAGCCCAGAGGAGGAAAGGCAGGGACCAGGAGGTTACGGGCATGCATGCTGTGCCTGGGGGTGGCGTTGGTGGGTGCAAGTGCTAGCTGGGCTGGAGGAAGGAAGATGCCCCCTTTATATCTGAGAAACTGAGGCCCAGGAAGCATGAGTAACTTGCCCAGGGATGCCCAGCTAGCGGCATGGTGGGTTCTAACCCACTGTCTCGGCCCAATGACCACGAATGCTGTTCCTCTGCTGACTCATGCGTCACACCATGTGCTTTCTTTCCTGCCAGGATGTGAGACCCGCAGAAGAGTAAAGCGTTGCTTCTCTGCACCTCCCTCCCTGTCTGCTAGAATGTTCCTCATGAACGCCCCTCCAGTGGTTGCTCTCCAGTCCAAATGGGAGGCCTTTGGCCCGCCGGGGAGCTTTAGGTTTCCCGGGTGCTTTTCAGAGTCAAAAGAGGGTGTCAAGAGAGCGTCTGTGAGTGCCAAGGTGCAGATGATCCTCAGCTCGCTGCAGCGTGACGAGGCTGCTCTGGGCATGAACCATGAGCGGGCACCACCGAGAAGCCAGAGGGCCGAGAGGTGCCGAGACGCCCGGCTGGCTGCCAGCCCTGCTGTGTGCAAAGAGCAACCTGCATTCGCTGCCTGTGGTCGTGCTGACAATTTTGACCCCATGGGGGAGGAGGAAGCTGCAGACCTTGGCCCCTTGGTCCTGGATTCGGACAGTGACGATTCTGTGGACCGGGACATCGAGGAGGCCATCCAAGAGTATCTGAAGGCAAAGGGCGGAGCCACACAGCCTGTGTCCAGCAGGGCCCAGCCCGGTGGGGCCCAGCCCTCCGGAGCCATAGGTGGGGCCAGTAGATGCAAACCAGAGCCTCCTCACAACAGTGCCCCAGCTACTCCGTGTTCCCCCAAACTTATCCCTGGCAGCCATGTAGGAGCCAGCAAGGACCAAGGCTCCACCTCCCCGGTTAGTGTCAGCAGCGATGACTCCTTTGAACAGAGCATCAGGGCAGAAATAGAGCAGTTTCTCAATGAGAAAAGGCAACATGAAACCCAAAAGTGTGATGGGTCCATGGATAAAAAACTAGAGCCAAATGAAAATTCAGCCAAATCACTGCTTAAATCCTGCAAAGAGCTGACTGTTAAGGGGGCACCACGGCAGGATCTGACGGCAGCCTGTAAGGAGTTCGTCTTCCGAAAACCTCCCAGATTCACCAAGGTGAATGCACAGCCTAGAAGCCTTAGGTCTAGGGTCACCTCTGGGCCAGAGACCGTGGGCAGCACAAAGCCGGCAGCCCTCAAGCCTGCCACCCCTTGCCGCCCGGCAGAAGCCATGCAGAGTAAGGGCGGGATTAAGAGGAGTGTTGGCACCACAAGGCGGGGAAAGCGGGTCAGGAGTGCGGCCCTTGTGCCTGAGGGGTCTGACTCCAGCAGCGACGACGGCATCGAGGCGGCCATCCAGCTGTACCAGCTGGAGAAGACAAGGAAGGAGGCCATCGGGGGCCCGCCACAGAGAGCCCAGTGCCTGGAGGACAAGAGGCCCGACCCGCCCACCACAGACAGCACAAGCAGTGCCCCGAAAAGTGCCTTGCCTGAAACCCATAGGAAAACATCCAGCAAGAAGAAGTCCGTGGCTGCAAAGCCTGCCGAACCCAGCCCAGGGGACCTTGATGCCAGCCACACGCCCAAGCTGCCAAAGGAAACCAAAACTCTTGCAGTAAGCACAGCTTCTAGAAGCGAGTTTGTGGAACGATCCTCATGCCGAGCAGACTCGTCCGCTGAGCTGATGTGTGCAGAAGCTATCCTGGACATTTCCAAGACGATCCTGCCAGCCCCTGCAGAGGGCAGTGACAGGTCACTCTCTGCAAGCCCACTCTTCTACTCCCCGAACGTGCCTTCCTGCTCTGGCGGTGATAGCAGCTCTGTGGACAGTGACGACAGCATAGAGCAGGAGATCCGGACGTTTTTAGCCCTCAAGGCACAGTCAGGGAGTTCACTAGCCAGAGCCGAAAGTGACCCTCAGGCTGGACAGAGGCCGCTGTCACCATCAGGTCCCAACAGCCAGACTGGTGGCCCCAGGGCCCCTCTCCCTAAAACACAAGATCTGTCACTAAGCTGTAAAAGGAAATACAGGGGCGGCAGCCACACAGCAAGACCATCTACACCCAAGAAAACGAGGGAGGTGGTGAAAGAGGGTAGCCAGGACATTGACCACACGCTGGGGACAGCTGAGTCTGGCTATGATGGACAAGACCTGCCCAGCCAGGGCAAAGCTGACGAGGCCCCTGGGAGGGAGGGTGAGGCCAGGGGGCCCAGTGGTGCACATGTCCCTCCAGGCCACTGTAAGGCGGTCGAGGCGAGGGGTATAGATGAGAAAGAGAGCTCTGAAGACAAGAGCAGCTCACTGGACAGTGATGAGGACCTTGACACGGCCATTAAGGACTTGTTAAGATCCAAGCGAAAGCTTAGGAAGAGGTGCAGGGACCCCAGGGCTGCGTGCAAGAAGAAGGTCAGGTTCAGCACTACCGAAACGCAGTTCTTGGATAAGCTAGGTGGGTTCCGGAAAGACTGGAAAGACAGAAGCCCACAGGTGCTGAAAAGCTGCCTCTCCAAGTCCAAGAGAGACAGTGGAGAGAGCCCCATGAAAAGATCTCCAAGCATCTTTGGCAGTGTGACAGAGCGAACCAAGCTTGAGGGTACTGGGGACCAAGATGTGGCCCCAACCTTCCGATTAAGGAGAAACGCCTCCGAAGGGAATCTGTTCCCTGGTGAGCATCAGAGTCCAGCTCCAAGCCCCAGCGTCCTGTCTGATGACAGCAGTTCTGTGGACAGCAACGATAGCATCGAACTAGAGATTAGGAAGTTTTTGGCGGAAAAGGCTAAGGAGTCCGTGAGTAGCTCAGAAGTTCAAACAGAGGGTACCCCCACTCTTGGTATGGGGGTCCCCACAAGGCCGGAGGGGTCATGCAGGAAAGAGCCAGCCCTGCAGCCTGGGGTGTGCACTCGGAGCCAGAGGGTTAAGGGGGCCTCTCAGCTGACCCAGGGACTCCGAGGAGCCGAGAGAGCTGGAACACAGAGGGGGACCAGCCTCTTCAGCCAGGGCGGGAAGAGCCTGGCTGCTCCTGCCAGAGGCACCAGTGGGAATGTCTCTGCCAAGGGGTCTCCAAGTAGGAGGAACGTTTATGTCCACAAAGACCAGGGCCCACGAGGGGCAGAGCCTACTGTCACCGACAGTGCTTTTGGTCAGCTGCCCAGCTGTGCCAAAGCAGGCACTGAGGCAGGAGGTGCTGGGGGGACCTTCCATGTGAGTTACGGGAGCCGGAGCTTCCTGACTCCCAGCTCAGGAGCTGAGAGGGACACTAGACCCCAGGCCAACCTCACCCTCCCTTGGAGCGACTTTGCCCACCAGAGTCAGCTGCCCAGCCCGTGGGCACTGAACTCAGAAGGCAGAGACTCAGCGTGGAGAGGGGGCCTGGGGAGTGAGAGAGAGAAGCGGCCCGAGGGCCTGACCAGGGGCCCGCCCAGCCTGCCTTTCGCAGGCTTCTCCCCCCTGCTGTCTACTCAGCTCTTCCACTTCGGAAAGAGTGTGTCCTGGGGAGGCAAGCAGGCCAGTTTCTTCAGCCCCCACCCGGGGCTACCTTTGCAGGGCCCGTCCTTCTCCGCGTTCAGGGAGGCCCAGGCCGGGCCCAGCCCTGTGTTTGGAAGCCCACACCTGCTAGGGAAGAAGGATGGTGGGGCCTGGCCACGGCGGAAGGCCCAGGCAGGGCTCGGTTTACATGACAGGAGGAACTCAGGCCCAGAGGAAAACATCCTCGACCTGCGGTATCGACAGAGGGTCATGGACAAGGACGACCAGGACCAGGAGGCCCTGGGTAGTGACGCCAGTGACTTCAGCGACACCTCCATGGAGGATGGCGGTGGCCGCTCAGTAGCGAAGGGCAAAGCTCTCAAGTTGTGAGTGTGCATCCTGGTGTTCGTAGCATTTGTGGAAAGCGGTCTGTGCGTGCGTGTACCTGTGCACGTGTGTAGGTGGTGTCGTGAGTACAGAGCGAGACGCTGTCCGTTACACGCGTCCCTGTACATATGTACACTGACATGAAACCATGGTTTTATTTAACAGATGTGTCCCAGTAAATTTGATTTTTGTAGCTTTTTGTAAATTATTTAAAGTGCTGTAAAAAGTATTTTTGGAAAATATTTGTCATTCACTTTTGTAGGGCGTCCCTAACTGCAGTTTTCTGTGGTCTGCTTGCAAGTCTTAGATTAGTAAACGTTTGGTTCTTACCATCACAGCCAGGTTCACAGATACTGTGAGGCCACTGCTGTCCAGTAGACCGCTGGTGACAGTGTCCAGTGGTACCACCATTCAAGCTGAGAGAGGCAGCAGTCGCCCTTGCCAAGAATCACTGAAATGCCCAAAGGTGTCTTTTGGGAAGCTCCCGGGACAACACTGTACAAAGGACCTCCCACCCCAGTCCCTTGAGGCCGGAGCACGTCTTCTGAAAACTGCAGTCACAGCCTTCAGCTGGAAAATGTTTTGAAGCACAAAGGCCAACCAGCACCCAAGGGTCAACTAGCCTGGCCACTGTGGGTGGAGGCCAGGAGAGCCCTGCTGTGGCTCTGAAGCCCCAGTTGGTTAATATCTGTCCAGTCACTAGATGATTCAAAATCTAAATAAACCACTTTTTATATGGGATTTCCTGTTCTTCATTTTTAATCATGTTTCTAATGTTCCTTACCTTGATTTCTGCAAGCGAATAAGCATTGCTTGGAGTTGTGTTAGTTTTGGACCCCGAACACCTTGGGCACTGATGCGCCAAGCCTGGTAGCTAGGAATAAACTTCACACCTTCCCTCTGGGAACTAGAGTCAGTGCCAGGTGTGCCCAGACAGCAAAGCGAGCTTCAGATGGCTCTTGTGGGCTCCATCCCTGGGGCAGACGGGAGGGCCCTTGTCCTGCACCAAGAACCGATACCAGGCAGTGGCCTCATCAGCGTACAGGCTGAGCAGCGCTGCTGTGGCATTCTGTACCCGCTGCTGAGGCCATGCAGTGCGCACAGCTGCTGTGCAGACAACAGTGGTGTTGGGCACTGACGGTCACAGCATTCACCTTGTGACTGTCCAGCAGACTATCACTAGTTGCCCAGGTTTTACGACTCAACATCCCGATTTAACCATGATGCGGGGTTTCCTTTGCATCTGAATTTTGTTGGAATTCTGATGTGCAAATTGCCTATACATTGTGCACCCCTGGGTTTTAGCAGTAATTTGCTTCTGTGCCCAAATGTGGCCACATGCCACACGACATCCACCGTCTGTTGGATGGGAAGCTTTAGTGACTGGGCCCTGCACTGCCCGTGACTGTCCACTATAGAGATTCATTCACTTAAGTGCTCCCAGGAAAAACAACTCTAACTTTTTTTTTTTTTTTTTTTGGCAGTTTTTGGCTGGGGCTGGGTTTGAACCCGCCACCTCCAGCAAATGGGGCCAATGCCTTACTCCTTTGAGCCACAGGCACTGCCCTAATATTTTTTCTTTTTTCTTTCTTTTTTTTTTTTTTTGGCCGGGGCTGGGTTTGAACCCGCCACCTCTGGCATATGGGTCTGGTGCCCTACTCCTTGAGCCACAGGCGCCACCCTCTAATTTTTTTTAAGAGTACCTTTAACCCTCAGAAGGAAAAACTAGCTGGTTTTGTATATATTTGTATTAACTTTTAATATGAATAAATCACACGGTACCCACAAGTCAGTTCATGGAGTTTATCTTCTGCAGATGTGCGAGTGGAATCTGCAGGGTTTGTCACGAGAACCTTGTCATTGCAGCAAGTTTAGAGCTTCAGGCACCCAGGACTCATCAGTGCACCCCGGCAGGCCACTTCCCATGTGTCTTCCCCAGACCTAGGACCCTTCATGTCTTTCCCCATCCCACATCCTCTTCACGGCAGTGTGGCCAGAGCTTCTGGTGCCCCGGGGACGATGACCTCGTGAACTGGGGGGATATGGCACCTATAGCACCACCCTCAGTTATTGTTAGCGTGTTTCATACATACAAGCAGGACATTATATTAACATGCAAAGCAGTTGGCAGAGGGCCTCTGGTCACCATGGGCTGCTCACTTAATGCAACGTTGGTCCATTTTCAGTTTCCATAAGGAGATGGTATATCCCTGGTAGATGGACTCAAACTGCAGAATAGCCCTGTTCAGAACCAAATGCTGGTGCCCTACGTTTGGGCTTTGTTACTGCCTGCAGTGACTTGTTTAAACTGACCAAAGGGCTCTCCTGGTGACATTAAAACAGGGCCATCTATGGGAGTCATTAGCCTTTGTTCTCATGCTGATGGAAATTACCCTTGAACCTTACCCTTTCCCCGCTTCCAGCAATAATTTGGTGCCTTTAAGAATCCACTGAAGAAAATGATTCCATTTACACATCCTTTTTTTTTGTAGTTTTTGGCCGGGGCTGGGTTTGAACCCGCCACCTCCAGCATATGGGGCCAGGACCCTACTCCTTTGAGCCACAGACGCCACCCATGCACATCCTTTCTTTTCACAGACTGGACATAAACCTGGTTCTACTGATGCATCCATCCTGGGATTGCCCATGTGCTCTGTGGTCTGAAAGCTTTTGCTCCTGTAGGTCCACTGTTGCCTGCACTTGCCCAACAGGTACCCAGGGGGTGGGGTGGGGTGGGGGGTTTGCAGACAGGAGCTGTCCAGGAGGGATATGTCCAGGTGTGACGATGTAGGGGCATCACAGGAACACATCCCAGAGCTGGTCTGAGTAAATGTGCCCACCCTGTGGGAAGAGCCTAGTGGGCTCTGTGTTAAGCCCTTTGCACGGCTAGAATTATTAAGACTGTCAATTAAAAAAGAAAAGGTCTTCACGAATTTGAAAGAAACTTCATTTTGGTTTTACTTAGGACTTTTTTTAAATTTAAGATTAATATAAGGATACAAATGATCAGGTTACATTGCTTGAATTTGTTAGGTAAAGACCAAGTTGTAGTCAAGCCTGTCACCCAGGAGGTGTGCGGTGTACACTGGTAGGTGGGAGCTTAGCAAGCCCCCTCCCTTCTCCCCCTGAAAATTTATTTCCTATAAAGAATCACAACCTGCAGAATGGGAAGTGAGTCCAGAATAGGGGGCGAGCATAGAACAGAAGTTTGTGTTGAACGGGTTGGCCGAGTGAGCATATTTACCAGGTTCCGGGAGGAGCTATGAATATTTACAGAGAGGGGTCCTAAAGCACGTGCACTGACCTAACTGACCAAACACGTCCCACGTTTACTTGGGTGAGCCTTGACATTTAAATGAACTGAAATTAGGCCCCATGTGTCACAAGGTGAAGTAGGGACACAAAGGCACACAGCATGCAGCACAGACCAGGCAGAACCAGGCCCTGGCCAGTGCTCTGTTATCAGAAGAAAGTTACATCAGTTTCTTGTCCAGTCAGAGCTACAGTTGCAGCTTGTGAAGCGGGCGGGGACGTAATGTCTGGCAGTGGACCTGCGATTGTTTCAGCTTTGCTTATCTCAAGGCCAATGCTCCTTTAGCTGCTAAAGAAAAAGAAAAGCCTGTGGTGTTAGAATATAGTTTATTCTTTAAGTGTAGGGGGTATGACTTAACCCTTGCCTGGCATGGCCTTGGGTTTCTTTTTTTGTTTTGTTTTGAGACAGTCTCTCACTACGTCACCCTAGGTAGAATGCTGTGGCGTCACAGCTCACAGCAACCTCAAACTCTTTGGCTTAAGCGATTGTCTTGCTTCAGCCTCCCAGTAGCTGGGACTACAGGTGCCCACCACAACGCCCAGCTGTTCTTTTTTTATTGTTGTTATTATTGTCATTGTTTAGCAGGCCCTGGGTGGGTTTGAACCCACCAACCCTGGTGCATGTGGCCAGCGCCCCAACCACTGAGCGATGGATGCCCAGCTGGCCTTGGGTTCTTTTTATAATTTGGTATCTCATTATCATAAAGAGTTCATTCCACTACTCTTATGATGTGTAATGCTGGTAATTTATGTCTAAACACCTCTAACAAGATGTGTCCAAACTCCCAACCCATCATGGCTGGAAACTCAGTTTTTAAGGTTCCTCTGAGGTCCCCTTGTCAAGAGTGGGTCTATTTGGTCACTTGAGGAGGTAGTTATGGTTTTATTTTTAGTTCTTAGAACCTAGGGATGCGTCATACCCAAGGAACCCCTCTCCCTTCCCAGGGAGTGGGTCCTGAGGTCCATTTCATTTAATGCAAAGAGTGGAGAGAGGCCATGTTTTAAGAGATGTCCAGTCCTCGGGGGTAGGTTGTCCTCAGGTCAGAGTGTCCCTAAAGTGCCAGTGGAGCAGGAATGGACAGGACAAAGGAAACAGCTGTTGTCCACCCAAGTCTCTGTACAGGGGAGCAGATCTTCCTATGAGTAGGAGTCACCCTTATTTTATCTGTTGTTCAGAATTTGGGTGCTCAGATAGCAGGTTTTCCCACCTTGAGGTATAATTTGCATTGGAAAATCAGGCAATAAATCTAAATATTAGCATTTTATCTGCTGTTATGAAAACATAGATGATACTGCCTTCTCAACACCCCACCTCAAAATTAATGAAAGTGCCTGTTGGGGGTGAGGGGCTGTGATCAGCATGAAATCCACAGTCAGTATCTGCAAGTAACAGCCAGGTTTATACCCAGGCATGGCTGTGGAGAGAGAATAACAGCCAGGTTTATACCCAGGCGTGGCTGTGGAGGGAGAATAATAGCCAGGTTTATACCCAGGCATGGCTGTCGGAGGGGGAAATAACAGCCAGGTTTATACCCTGGCACGGCTGTGGGAGGGGGAGGAGACTTACTACATTATCTGCAAAATCTTTGAGGATTCTGGTATTTTGTGTACTGAGTAGGAGATATTTTTTCATGTTAACACATTTTACTACGTATTTGAAACTATTTATTCTAAATTACTATAAAAGATAAAAGGTTAATAGAGAAAAATACAGAAATATGAATGAAAATAGACATCTGAAGTAAGTTACTGGTTTTAAACCAAACCAACAGCTAAAATAATTGATCAGTAACATGATACGAAATTTTGTGAGGTTTATTTTCTTGTTTTGAGACAGTCTTGGTGTACTGCCCCGTCTAGAGTGTCATGGCATCAGCCTAGCTCTGAGTAACCTCAAATTCCTGGATTTGTGATCCTCCTGCCACAGCCTCCCAAGTAGCTGGGATTACACCCAGCTAATTTTTTTTTTACTAGAGACGACGTCTTGCTCTTGCTCAGGCTGGTATCCACCTTGGCCTCCCAGAGTGCTGGGATTATGGCCACAAGCCACTGTGCCCGGCCTGAAACTTTGTTTTTAACTTTCAATTTCCAAGTGGAATAAAAAGACCAAATAAAGCAAAGACCTACTCGTGACATAGAGGTTTTCAGAAATTGTTGTGCCTTTTCTTTTTTCAATGTCTGTGAAAACTGATTTGTTACTCTAAATGTTTCAGCTGCCTCTCCTGTAATTGTTCTGATTTGATTTAAGAACACAGTACACGGTGGTGCCTGTGGCTCAAAGGAGTAGGGCACCAGCCCCATATGCTGGAGGGGTGGTGGGTTCAAACCCAGCCCCGGCCAAAAACTGCAAAAAAAAAAAAAAAAAAAAAGAAAAAAAAGCGCACAGTACAAAGATGAGAAGAATGATTTCTGTCTTTTACTTTTCATTTTTCAGCCATCCATTTCATATGCTATAATCCCTCACAGAAACACTCTTTTTCCTCAGCATGTAAAAATTTCAGTTTCGAAGAATTACTATGTTAAAAAGATAAATGTCTTGAAATTCATAATCACTGGAGTGAGTTCTTATACGACTTATGCAATGAAAGTTAGGGCCACGTGTAGTCCCAACACTTGGGAGGCCAAGGCTTACAGGTTTGGGGCCAGCCTGAACCAGATCAAGACTTTGTCTCTAAAAATAGCTGGGCATTGTGGTGGGCACCTGAAGTCTCAGCTACTTGGGAGGCTGAGGCAAGAATATCAGTTGAACCCAGGAGTTTGAGATTGCTGTGAGCTGTGATGCCATAGCACTCTACCAAGGGTGACAAAGTGAGACTCTGTCTCAAAAAAAAAAAA